TTCAGTAGCATCTGCAAACTAAGCTTTTCTCCTCCCTGGGGAAAATTCACTGTCTCCCTGCTGTGAGTTCCTTGTTCAGGGGAGGTATATTTTGAAACCTAGAACAGTTTATGACCACTTCTGCAAAAGGTGAAGGATCACAACCAGGAACTGGGGGGGTCAGGCTGCACGAGAGGCTATCAGCAGCCTCCAGAGTCCCAGCACAGCTAAGGCACTGGATTATCACAAGTGGTCCCTCACAGGGTGAGGGCTGGCTGTCTCCTAGGTACAGTCTACACCTGTACTGGATACAGCAGCACGTTCCACCCTGTATGTTACAGGTGCAGAAACTCATGCTTCGCTCTTGATCAGTACAAGGTAGGACATGGTTGTAGCACATCCTGGCTGCTGTCTTCTGAGTTAGGTCTCGGTGGTGGGTGTGACCCTTGAGCTTACAGTCCAGAGGGCAAAGTGTGCAAGCCCCAACAATGCCACCCGTGGAAGACCACGCACAGCTTGGGTGCAAGTGACAGGTGCCAGGGAAGTGGGATCAGAGTTTCCCACGAGTATAGGGATGGGGACAGCAGGGTGTATGGCTCAGAGTCCAGCAGAAATGTGAGTGCAGCTGGCATGGAGGTGGGGGCAGCGAGGTGGATGCCTAAGGTTGGGATCCAATCACTGGGCTTTCATCTCAAGTGGGAAGTTTTTAAGCAAAGAGGAGATGTGATTGGTTGGTATTTAGAGGCCAACCTGGTAGGAATTTGGAAAAACCATTGCAGTAGTCTAATGAGAATGTTGACAGAATATTGCCCCAATATTAACAGAATAAAGACTAAGGAGAGAGTGATTGTTCCTTCAGTTTTCATTTGTAATACAATTCTTTCTTTGAAACACTATCTCATTATGTAATTTAGGCTAACCTTGAACTCTCTACCATCCTCCTGCCTTAACGTCCTGAGGGCTGGGATTACAAGTGTGTGCCTCCATGCCTGGCATGTAATACAATTCTTTATGTTAAAAATTGCTCTTAAAAGGAGATTGCCTAGTGAGTCTGCAAGTGCCTGCCTTTGATCCTCAATCCTGCAAAAAAAAAAAAGGAAGAGAACAATGTCGTTGTCAGTGGGGTGGAAAGCATCTGTTGCCTGGGGTAGTAGTGAGTCTGCAAGTGCCTGCCTTTGATCCTCAATCCTGCAAAAAAAAAAAGGAAGAGAACAATGTCGTTGTCAGTGGGGTGGAAAGCATCTGTTGCCTGGGGTGTGGAGTTTGGAACCTTCTTCTGGTGACCCGCATACCCCATGCGTCCTTATAGGGAATCGCCCCTTATCTATTCAAGGGGGCTGTAGCTTTTGGTTGCTGAAGCTGCTGTGGGGACCAGAGGCAGAAAGGACTGGCCGCCTGAACAGGTGACAGATGTGCACCATCTACTGCTGAAGTGCAACAACAGGAGCAGTCAGAAGGCTGGAGAAAGGGCTCTTCTCCACGCCCACCCCTGCTCAAGGAAAACGGACGGGCTTCTAAGGGCTGGAGCATTCTCACCTGACAAATTTGGGAGATGACTTGTTTTCCTTGCTTCCCACTGTAGTGTGCCTTGTTTAGGATCCTGAAACATGAAGCTTTGGCTTCTCTTGTGCCAGGGCCCAGCTTAAAGGGATTTGGGGAGAGAGTACAAATGGAGAGAATATAGGCTCCCCCCCACCCCACCCTAGTCCTGTTGCGCCCTACCCACACGGAGCAAGCCGGGGATCCTCCCTACCTTCTGGGAATCAGAGGGTTAATAATCTCCCTAGCTCATTGGCAGTTCTGCCTCTGTCCAAGGCATGCTGGGATTTCCTCCCAGCTGTTTTACATCATGAAGATTTGTGTGTTGGGGACATTCCAGGGCACAGCTGCAATTAATCTGCTCGGTCTCCAAGCCGGCAGAGTAAGGACTGTGAAGGACAAATCTCCGCCTCCGTGCAGGAAAGTGGGCTTTAGCTCTCTAGGGAGAGCATCCTTCAGAGGGACCCTGTGTGGAGCGGAAGCAGCCCACCTGGCCAAGCGCTCGCTCAGCCCAAGGAGGGCTCCAGGGAAGGTTCCGAGAGCAAAAAGGGACCCAGAGCATTAAGGAAAGGAGGAGCAGGGCCCCTCTAACAAACACAGCCAAAATAACACTGATACCAACACTTAGTGTAGTATTCCATAATAAAAAGCAAGAAACAAAAACAAACAACCATGGTCATACAGGGTTTACCTTGAGAAGGCAGAAGTGCTCTAGTGTAAAAAATCTGTTACTATACATATCATCTTGTGGATGTCAAATAAGAGAAACCACAGGACCATTTTGGTGAATTCCAGTGAAAATAGGAATAGAATCATCCTCCCTTAACAACATGAAGATATGATCTAAACCTTAGCCTCACCCTACTTAACTTCGAACTACATTAGCTGAACCCTAGCCCCCAAAAAACAGTTCCCCAATTTCAGTGAAGTTGGAAATGCACATCTGTCCTGTCTCAGAGTCAGAAACATAGTTGCATGTGAAAGATATGTAAGTCAAGGTGGTGCTCAACAACTGGACTTGCTTGGCCTTTCATTTCTTCTCCTGAGTATCGAAAGAGTCCTTAGCTCACAGACATCCCTGAGAAGTGGTAGCTCCTGCTATTGCTTCGCCCATTACAGTTGCACTGATGTTATGGAGCCCACAGTTTACCATCCTGTGGGCACTCCAGGAGGGAGGCAGCAGATCAGGCTGTGGACTTCTGTTCAAATATGTGCTCAACTCCTGCTGTGATGGGGTGAGGAGCTTAGCCTTGAGTGAATGGAGCCCAGCCAGGGTTTGGAGAAACCCGTAGTTGTAATTTGCCTGAGTGCCTTTATCTGCAAAGGCTAAATTCAGCCACGTGTCACTTAATCCCCAAGGGCATCCTCTCCCCACTTGCAGCCCCAGTGTGAGCTTGGGGCTAGCCTCACCGAAGAATCCCCACAAAAAGAGCTTTTATTTCTACTGGTTGTTGGATTGGGCCTGACCTAGGAATCAGCACTGCCCAGCTTCCTCCAAATTCCTGGTGCTGACCTGGGAAATTACAGGGGGTGTTGCTGGCTCCTATCACCCTATTCATGGTCCTGGGAAACTCAACTGTCCCCTTTCCTAGCTGGCATAATGGCATATGCCTGTCATCTTAGCTACTGGACAGGCAGGGAACAAGACCCTGGGGGAGCTGAAGGGTTTTAAAGACTCTTCGGATATGTTTCATGTTGGGGGATGGACTTGAGACATTTTCCTTTAGCACTTGGTATTTGTTATTATTGTGGTAACATTTATAAAACAAACATGTTCAAGTTGTTGCTTGGTACTCAAGTAGAAGCTCTGACTACCTCAAGCATCTGAATAGGAGAACATTGGTGTCTGTGTGAACATCTGCTTCTGGGATGGCCAGATAGAAAAGAAGAGAAACTCATGAGAGTGAGGGAAGTGTCGGGGGGCTGAGATGGTTTGTGAAGATGGTGCTCTACGAGCTTCGTGATTGCCGGGCAGTGAAGAGACCCAGGCTCTGGCTGTGAGCGCTCATGCAAAAGCCTGCGAGCCTATTTTACATCTGTTGGCTCATCTGAAAACTGGGGCTCACATCCCTCAAACTTAGACTAGCAGGGCTGTTTGTGAAGATTAAACTGGGTTCTGTGCGTTAAAATGATCTGAAAATTATTACTAATGTGGCACAAATGCTGTTCACTTTTAACTAAAGCTCCGCCGCTTTTCAACTTGCTAATGTTGAAATCCTCTTTAGTTTATCTGGGAAGTGTAGGCTCTAGGAAAGGAAGAAGTGGCTCTGGTGAGACAGGAGGAAGAAGAGAGGCTCGGCAGGCAACAGGGACAGGAGCTATGTGTCCGTGTAACTCAAGGCCAACTGATGGGACTTTTGTCCTGCTGTTGAGTGAGCAGAGCAAGTGGTGACTCAGAGACCCCTTTCTGTCCTCTGTGAAACTCCCTGGAGCCACCTCTTCCGCGAGAGCTCTATCTCCTCAGAGAGGCCACTTCATGGGTCTTCTGCCCACCACACCCTGCTGGCACTGACGTTGTGACAACATGCATGCTTTTTGCTCCTGGCAAAGATTACCGGTTTGTGTATGAATGTAATAGCTGCCGTTTATCAGATGTCTCCCACCAGTGAGGCACTGTGCTCATTATCTGACACAGTCCCTGTTGCTTAACAACCTGCGAAGTTATCATAATGGTTTTGTCTTACAATGACAAAACTGAGACTCTGGGTTGTCGGTCACTTGCCTGGAGTCACACGGCCCATGTTGGCTTAGTGAGAATCTGAACCCATGGTCCTGGGCCTAGAGACTCAGTGGGCTTCTCCCAGGACCTCTGCCTGTGCTCCATTCTCTCCTCAAGGACCCTCTTAGCAAGGCATGCCAAGTGGAGGAGAGGTTTCTCACTGAAAGTGTGTATGTGTGTGTGTGTGTGTGTGTGCACGCGTGTGTGCATGGGAGTAGCTTGGTATTTGGGTTTTTCACAGTGACCCATGGGAATGGGTGGGTACTGAGTCATCTTCTCAAGACTGAGAATCACTGTGATACAGACCAGCAAGCTTGGGCACAGAGAATTACCCACCACTCTGAGTGTCAGTGGATGGTTTTTGTCTGTTCATTCACCTCTGCTCTGCACAGTCTGTTTCTCAAGGAGCACCGTGCATGACACAGTGAGAAATGGAGACCAGCCAGGCAGAATCATAATCTGGGAGGCTCTTGTCCCTGAGGATTGGTCAATAGGGTCTTGGAAGAATTTGGGGTTTGTGGGATGTTTTAGTTCCCTCTCCCTCTTCTGGTTTCCTGAGTTGGCATCTGTGTCCCCCCGAGGTGACAGAGGCTGCAGTGGTGGTAGGGTGACTGTTGGTGTATGCTGTGGGAATCTGACCCTCTCTGTACGGGGCATGGGCTAGAGTGGTCTCCCCGCCTCCCTGGTGACCGAGCACTGGGCTCTTCCTCTGCTTGCTTTGGGCACTTGAAAGGCCTCATCTCACCATCTGTCCTCTTTGCAGTACCTGCAGATGAAATGGCCTCTCCTCGATGTCCCCTCCAGTGCCACAGTGAAGGACACGAGGTCACCATCTCCAGCACACTTGGTAAGTCTGTTTCACCATAAAGGGGATAGTGTGTCTAGCCTTGTCCTTTGCCCTGTCTCCAGTGTAAGTAGTCTGAGGCTGCGTGCGTGTGTGTGTGTGTGTGTGTGTGTGTGTGTGTGTGTGTGTGTTTTGAACTTAGGACCTTTACACTGAGCTACATCCCTATCCTTTTTATTCTGTATTTTGAGACAGGGTCTCTGTAAATCACTGAGTTGCCCAGACTGGCCTCAAACTTTCTATCCTCCTGCCTTAGCCTCCTAGAGTGTTGCGATTAGAGGCATGCACGGTCCCACCTGGCTGAGGTTGTGTCTTGTATGCTCCCTCTCACTCTTTCCCCTCAACACACAGGCACACACTACCTCAACTCCTTCACTGGAAACCCCTGCTCAGGTGCTCTCCATGGGCATCTGGTTCTGTCCAGCCGCTGCACATGGGCAGGGTCCTTTCTGTCCTGGGAGCTCATTCAGCACGGCCTCTTTTCTGTTCCTTGTAGCTGCAAAGCAGCAGTCACTGGGGCTCTGCAGGACCAGCTGCTACAGGAAAGAACCCTTTAAACTATGTGGGAACAAAAGCCTGTGGCAACAGTGGGCTGCACAGCAAGGTCCGGAGGCCCTGGAAGCCAGGTGCAGTGTGGTCCTAGTAGGTCATGCCAAGGACTGAACTCAGAGCAGACAGGAGATGTTGCTGGACCCTGACCCTCATATCCTACCTTCGTGGACTTTGGGAGCTTGGGTCAGTGCCTGCCTCTGGACCTACTCATCCCACAAGTTAATGGTGTTTGTCCCTTGTCCAGTGAGACAGAGTCACTGCAGACCCAGTTAGAGCACCTGCCTGTGCCATTGTGCTACGAGGGGAGAGAGGGCTCTTGTGCTAAGTGTAAGGTACTGGAATTCATGACTTGGCTAACAGTGCGGAAAAGTGGAACACATTATGCGATGAACCTCCACGTTCCCTGCCCACACCCTGCCCCTCCCACAACATTGTGGTTTAAAGTAAACCCCAGATGTATTATTTCCTCTCAGAGGACATTTCAGGATATACTGATAATCCTTGCTCATTAAGAGCTTAGAGTCTAACGGAGGAGTGGGAAGATACACATAGAATAGAGTGTGGCACAGTGAGCTCGTGTGACTTCCAGTAACCATGGTTCAGCTTATAGCAGCAGCCCCTTGGTGGCTGACAAGGCTGTGTCGTGTGTAGCTCTCTGATGATTGCCACAGCCACCTTCCAGGAAGGCAGGTGAAGACGTCTGAGTAGGAAACAGGGAGTGGCCCGCCCAGCTGTCCAGGGCAAGCTGCCCCAGACGTGCACACCCTGGAGGTGGGTTCTGTGGCCGGCCAACCAGGGCATGAGGAGCACACTGAACAGTGGCCCTAGGAACAGGCCAGGGGGTCGCTTTTGTACCTGCGGTCCGTGGGATGGCAAACATGAGGTACAGGTGCCCGGTAGTGGTCTGAGTCAGCCCTGTGGAAGATATCAAACCTCTTCCATCCCACCTCAAGCCTGGGTTATCCCCTCCCAGCCCAGTATTCTCTGTCTCTGATCTCTGCCCTGTAGCAGTCCCGCCTGCTGTTCTCCCTTCTGTCCACTTTCATCTCTCTGTTTTTTCTCTTCTCTAGCCCTTTTTTTTCATTTTTATAAAAAAAAGATTTATTAGGACATTATGGTACAATACATAAAACCCTAAAGTACTGCACAAGACATCCCAGTGTACAATTACATAGCTTCCCCACAAAACCTCATCACCAACAGCTATTTAAATCCTGGAATATGAGTGCTCTATTCTTCATACAACACACACTTCAGCTTACTGTAGATTTTTTATGAATGCATCTCTGCCTCTCCTGGAAGGAGGGAGATTTCATCACAAAACCCACAAATAGAGTCTTGTGCTCATCAGGCAGTCTCATACCTGCTTGACTACCACAGAGCCAGAGCAGCCCCACACACAGAGAAGTCCAGGAAAGGCCCTGCTCCCAGACAAACCCTGACAGCCTGCCATGCTGAGAACTGCTCCAAGATGGGGAAGAGGCTAAAAGAAATTGACCCTAAACTCTTCACCAGGAGTATCCAGGGTGGCCTTGGCTCTCCCTGCTGGAGGCCTGCAGACCCTTTGGCTCTTTTTTCTGGCAGATCCTCCTGCAGGCTGCTCCTGGGCTGGACAAGTCACTGCCCTGAGAGCTCACAGAGCCTCTCCCCACTACCTCCTTCTGTGTCCAGTAGTTCCCAAACAAGGAAAGCATTAGCTTCCTCTTTGGGGCAAGGGGTTCTTTGATGGCACAGAGTTCAAATTGCCTAAATAGCCTACTCTTTCTGCTTTGTGGTGGGTCTCTGAATCTTGAGTCCAAGCTCCAAATTCTCCACACACTGGTTCCCGGGCCATCTGCTCCATTCCACAGATGTCCTGTTCTGGGCTTTCTTCTTCTTCTGTTTTCTCAAGACTGCACCACCTTCACTGCCTACAGGGTGTACTCCCAGAGGCGACATCAGTGTGCTTGAGTTGTTCTGAGCAGAGACACAGGAAGGACTGAGGGCTCTAGGCACTGGGCCGGCATGCCAGGATTTGAAGCGTTCGGACACTAGTGGGGCCCATGGCTGCTGGCATCTCCAGAAGAGGAGGTCTAGAGGCACCGTGCGCCTCAGTGGCTGCTGACGCTTACAGACAGCTTTTTTTTTGGAGGGGGGTACCGAGGATCAAACTCAGGACCTTGCACTTGCGAGGCAGGTGGCGACACTACTGAGCTAAATCCCCAGACCTGTAGCACTTTTAGAGGACATGATTCCCCTTAAAAATCGACTCATGTACTGTGAATTTCCCTTCCTTCATATTGTATTGAGTGTTCCTTCTTTGAAAAGTCAAAGAAAAGCCCTATGTCCAGCCCTCCTTTGTGAATGTTATCCTACTTCCCTTCTCACGACTCCCACTCTATTCCTCACGTCTCCATGGCTACACCGTTTTCTCTGCCAATCCAGGGCAGCCTGGCTCCATCTACTAGTGACATCTAATTACCAAACCCAGGCATTTTCTTGCTTTCTCAACACGGTGAGCCAGGTGTGCTGGTGAACACCTGTAATCTCAGCAATCGAGAGGCTGAGGCAGGAGGAGTGCCCTGAGTTTGAGGCCAGCTTGCATTACATAGTAAGTTCAAAGCCAGCTTGGACTACACAAGGAGACCCTGTCTCAAAAAAAAAAAAAAAAAAAAAAAAAAAAAAACTGGCGGAGAAT